GGACAATTCCCTCTTACAAGGTTAGAAAGGAGACTCACCTCGCTCCAAAGTGCACTCCCAATGTCCAAGAACGAGTCCAAGTCCTTAATTCGAAGCCGGACAATCCCAAACTAATCAAACGAAGTAAGAACTATAAATAAAGGCTTGCAAGGTTGAATTCTAGCTATTTAAGCAACTTCCTAACCATTAACACAAGTTTCCTAAATTCCGACCCCGGGCCCACGTGCCCGGATTCCGAGATTTTTCGAAGGAAGTTGTTCTCTATCACCTAGGGATCACAAATATATGATTTCTAGTTCACTACATGGAAAATTATGTGATAAAACCTTAGTTTTCATTAAACCCTAGGTCTAGCTCAAATCCTTTGATTTTACCTAATTTTTTTGTGTTAAATCTACCTAATGTTTATGTATTTGAACTAAAATGAGTGGGGATTACTTACCTTGCAATGTTATGTTGAAACCTCCTCTTTGGAATCACCAAAATCGCCCAAGTGTTGAGAGTAATGTGGAAGAAATGAGTTTGGGTTCGTATTAATGAACCCTTCTGCCCCCAGTGATTTCCGCTTCTGCGGAAGGAATCCCACTTCTGCGGACATGAGCCGCTTTTGCGGAAATGGGCAAGGGGGCCTGGGCCGCTTCTGCGGTCATAACCTCGCTTCTGCGAGGCCGCTTAAGCAGAAAGCCCACCGCTTCTGCGGTTCTGGGCCTGGACGGATGGACCACTTCTGCGGTCAGGGGTCCGCTCCTGCGGTTTCCCCTGGGCCTGGCCCCTTCCGCTTCTGCGATAAAACGACCGCTTCTGCGGTCCAAGAGCCGCAGAAGCGGTTATGACAGAAGCAGCAGATAAGGTTTTTCCTAAGTTTTCAACTTCACTCGAACCTCGACCATTTGACGCTCGGGGCTCCCGAGCCCCGCCCGAACATACCGACAAGTCTGAAATCACGAGGCGGACCTACTCGAGCCCTCGAAATGCTTAAAACAATGCTAAATCAGGGAATCAACCCCAAAACCAAATGATTCAAATCATTGAACCTTCAAGTTCTAAATTTCCTCCTAACGGGTCAAAACGCCCTTAAACCACTCGGATTGACACCAAATTTTACAGGTAAGCCTTAACTGATATTTTGGACTTGTACCAAGTTTCGGAATCGAAATTCGAACCCGATACCTAGGGAAACAATAATTTCTTAGTTTATTTAAATCTTAGAAACTTAAACTTAACAATTTCATATAAAAATTTATTACTCGGGCTAGGGACCTCGGAATTCGATTTCGGGCATACACCCAGGTCCCATATTTCCCCACAGACCCTCAGAAATTGTCAAATCACGATTCCGGGTCCGTTTCCCCAAAATGTTGACCGAAGTCAAACTTGGCCTTTTTAAAGAAACTTAAAGAAGCAACTAGGCTTATTCTTGCTCAAAACTCTTCTAACTTCCGAACCACCCGTCCCCGCAAGTCATAAATTAGCTAAAGCAAGTGCGGAAAGTGTTATTTAAAGGAACGGGGTTCGAAAATGCAAAACGACCAGTCGGGTCATTACAAGCACCATTAAAATTAAAAAGAGATATAAATTAGGATATGGAGGTAGATACATAAATAAAACTAGTATTATCGCCGAAGGATATGATGAGATGAATAAGATTCTCAATTCTTAATTAAAATTTTGAAATATCTATATCTATATATATATTAAAGCAAGAAAATTACCATATATAATTGACATTATAGTTAAGCCAAGTGGCAAGCTAATAAATGTCAATAGTATATGGTAACTTTATTCTATATTTGACTATTTTAGTTAAATACAAATATATATATATACAAATATTAAAATATAATTTTGAATTTATGGATAAAGTTCTAAAATTCGACTTTAAATTAAAAATAAAATTTATCTTTCTTTTATCATGTTATCATACTTAATTCAGTTAATGATCATATGCAATCATGTTAGGAACTTTTGTTATTTTTTTTAATTATTTAAATACTACTTCGCCTCTAGCAAAAAAATAAATAAATAAATAAACTACTCCATATAACTATAAAACTCTTTCACATTTAAAATTTTATAAGTGTAGTTATTTGAAACACTGTAGCTAGATTTGAACAAAACAAAATTCTTTTAAAATAAATGTAATATATAGGGTACACGTCTATGTTTATCTAAATAATAAAAAAGAGTTTACTAAACCAAATAAAAGTTTATATATATATATGTCAAGAACTTATATTATTTTTCCTAATTATTTAAATACTACTTCGCCTCTAGCAACAAAAAAAACTTCATATAACTATAAAACTCTTTCACGTTTAAAATCCTATAAGTATAGTTCTTTGAAACACTGTAGCTAGATTTGAATAAAACGAAATTCTTTTAAAATAAATGTAATATATAGGATACACATCTATGTTTATCTAAATAACAAAAAAGAGTTTACAAAACCAAATAAAAGTTTACTTACATATATAATAAAGTAAACATACATGCTGGAGAAAGAAACATCACAAAATCAGTCAATATTAAAAAAAAGTTATTTCTTTTTTCTTCTTGAAGAATATTTGTTTGAAGAGTCAATTTGCATAAATGGACATCAAACAAATAACAAAACTTTGGCTATACAATTGCTATCATTAATTTCAATTTAGCACATTCAAGGAATTGAATGGTATAAGCTGAAACCCCTTCATTAAGTCAAGTCAATATTGCAAGGGTATAATATTTTTTTCATTGAAGAATATTAGTTTTGAATCATTGGATTATGTGAAAGGCTTTTTTTTTCAAACTCAACAAGAGAGAAGTTGGTTTCTAATTGAGAGTTTCTATAGCGACTTTTAAGTGTAACAAAGAGTATATATAAAGAAAATTGGTATGACGTGGAATATTTTTGAAAAAACTCTTTATTTTTATAAATTCAAAGATAATAAAAAGATAAATATTTTTGAATATTAGTAGAGAGTTTTAAAATTATTATAATAGAAGTTATATCATGGATAAACTCAAAAAACCGAAATCTTATGAAATATTTATATAACATCCGGCCATATTTATTGTTTACTTTATAGCTAATATAAATAGATGATATACCGACGACACACGATTATACACATATTATATATGGATTATATATAAATTACACATCATTCCATTTTTTAATTTAAGTGGTCAGGTGAGCACCTATTTAGGCTGATTAGATAAAGCCAAAAGAAAAATATGAAATAATTTCAACCAAAGACTAAAAATATAATTAAAGTTCATATGTAGACAATTTTTATTAAAACTCATACTTTTATAGTGAAATAAATTAATTTTTTGTAACAAAAAAATAATGACATAAAAAATAAGATAAAAGAAAGTAAATATTGAAAAAAATGTTAGAAAGATCTAAAAACGAGAAATAAAAGATGACAACAAATTTCTTCTTATGTTTCATCTTTGTTGAGTATAAAAAATTTGAAAGTTAATCTCATCGATTTCAAATATTTTTTTTCAACTCAAATACATAGATTATAAGATAAGGATATTTTAGAATATTTTTTTTAAATTTATATTATGTGTCGTTTTAAAAAATTCTCTATTACTAAAAACTGATATGATATTCGAATTTGAATTGGAATGCAATTTGAGTAGTTTGCATTGAGGTTAAGCCAAGTATGGTGTCGAAAAATAAACTACTTGACAATATTAAGACAATATATGCAATGTTTTATAATAATAATCAACAAATTTAACATTTAATGATTCAAAGAACAAATTTTTTGTATATATAGGGTATTAAAAATTCAAATTTTAGGGATAGAGATATCGATAAACTTAAAGTGGAGTCATACTGAAATAAATCCGGCTAAAGAATTATTTAAATTTTTAGATAGCCGATTAAAGTGAATTTTAAATTAAGGATAATATCTTCACTTGCATCAATATAAAGATAATCATTATTATAATATATATAAATTTTAGAAATTAAAATTTCAAAATAGAAATATTTTTTGAAAGATAAAATCATACCAAATAAGAGTTCAAGTCGTAGTATAAAAGTCATGTCGTAATCAAAGAATCGTTTATATCGTGCCAACCTTTGTGCTTTGCCATAAATATGAGTTATTATTTCACTTTTTGTGACTATTTTTCGGTTCCAATGACACCTATGAGAATATTGCAAAAATAAAATTATCACTACAAAAATTGAGAAAATGTTAGTCTTTTTTCATGTAGTGTTTATTAATTAATACCTGACGATAATCTATAATTATTTAGAAGGTTTAAATGTTAAGATTATTTACATATAATTCAAATAACTCAGATATTTAACATGGTTAATGTCAAATATCAAAATGGAGTAAAAACAAATTCACTAGCTAAAGAATTTTTTATATTTTTAGATAGCCAACTAAAATGAGTTTTGAATTAACAATAGTATTTTCAATTACATTATTATAAAAATAATTATTATTGAAAAATAATGTTTTAAAAATTGAAATTTTAAGAAAGAAATATTTTTTAAGAGATATCAACACACCAAATAGAGTTCAAGTAGTAGTAAAAGACTTAAGTCTTATCCAAAGAGTTATTCATTGTCTTAATATTTGATTGTTTTGCCATAAATATGAGTTATTATTTTGCTTCTTGATAATTTTTAGGATCCAATGACCCCGGCAAGAATGGTATCAAAAAATAAAAATAGAAGAAATGGTTAATTTTTTCATGTAGTTAATATCCAGTGATTATCTATATTTACTGAGAAAGTATAAATTTTAAGATTATTTACATACAATTCAACTAACTTAAATATTTGACATGATTAGGGTGCGTGCATCAGCGCGGGTACTAATACTAGTAACCCTAAAAAGAGAAAAATTGCTAGCAGTAGGAATCACTTTCTTGCAAATCCAAATTAATCGGACAATGAAATACGCACACCAAATATAGATTTGTCATTTCAATTTTTTAATAAGTGGGACCATTAGGCATTAGCCATTTAAATGAGGTGTTAGGCTGGCCCAATAGAAGCCACACTCTGAATTCACTATCCAAAACATAAGGAGACTCTCACCCAATGGCAACTAATACTCTAATTTCAGCATCCTCCCCTTCACCCACTATGGCTTCTTCTCTCACCGGCGCCGCCTCTCGTTTCCTCCCCTCCGCCACCATCGCCGCCACCTCCTCCTCCGCCACCACCAGGCTTTCCCTCTCTTCTTCTTCTCCTTCCCTCAAATGCCTCCAATCCTCCCCTCTCCTTTCTCACATCTTCCGCTACCAGGTTCGAAGTTAGATGCTCTTCTTTTGTCGTATTTTTTCTGGATTTTCGTTATAATTTTATTTTTCCTTATTGTAGAAGCGATCCTTGGTCGGAACATCATCTAGTGGAAGATTCAGCACGTTAGCCTCGCCGAAATGCGCCGCGTCTGATCCTGATCAGTTGAAAAGTGCGAGAGAGGACATCAAAGAGCTGTTGAAAAGCACGTTTTGTCATCCTATTTTGGTAATTTTACACTTACATGCTCACTATCACTTTTTTGCTTACTGGTGTTTGACTGGGTACAGACTTGTGATCTAAATAAGCTTGTGTGCCCTAGATCATACTCCCTCTGTCTCACTTATGAAACTTGTGACCTTAAATATGTTATGACATTTGTGTAGCTATAAAACTTTTCAAACTTTTAGGATTAAAAATATCAAAGCATATGCGAGGCTATATAAAATTCTCATTGAAAAAATATAGAAAATGTGTCATTCTCTTTGCAATGGACAAATAAAGAAATAATTTCAAACAAAGTGGAACTGAGGAGGTATACAAAATGAGAAGTTATAAAAACGTGTCAATTCTTTTTCGACAGACTAAAAAGGAAATGAACTTTAGCTGAAATATTTTTAACGCTTAAAAATGGTTCCAGGTTCGATTGGGCTGGCATGATGCTGGAACTTATAACAAGAATATAGAGGAGTGGCCACAACGAGGTGGAGCTAATGGAAGCTTAAGATTTGAAGTTGAACTAAAACATGGAGCAAATGCTGGTAACATTCTTCATTTTGTTACCTTTTTTTGGCTCACTTTCTAATTTTTCAGCTGACAATTAAGCCTGCAATTTCAGGACTTGTAAATGCACTGAAACTTCTCCAGCCAATCAAAGACAAGTATGCTAATGTGACATATGCTGACTTATTTCAGTTGGCCAGTGCAACTGCCATTGAGGTCATTAGTTACTTCTGGTTCTTTTTCTTTTTAATGTTAGCTTGAAAGTTAAAATTCAATCACTTGATTTTTCTACTTTTCAAACTTATAGGAGGCTGGAGGACCAAAACTTCCCATGAAATATGGGAGAGTAGACGTTTCTGCGCCCGAGGAATGCCCAGAAGAGGGAAGGCTTCCTGGTGAGAGATTCTTAGCTGTCATCTATTTTTCTTTTGTACATCATGATTTTCTGCAGCTTAGCTTATCATGCATGGAAACTACTGGGCAAGATATGTTGAATGAACTTTATCCCTGTGTATAGTATTTAGAGCCCGTTTGGATTGGCTTAAAAAAAGTAGCTTTTCAGCAGAAATAGCTTTTAAGCCAAAAAGCAGTAAGTTGGGATTGCCCAGCTTATTGCTTTTGGCTTGTTTTAAGCAGTTTTTAACTTATTTTAAGCACTTTTTGACTTTGCCAAACACTGAAAAAAGCTAAAAAGAGCTTCAAAGCTGATTTGACCAGCTTAAAAGCCAATCCAAACACCCTCTTAATAGACTCCTGCAGAGTCAACCACTTCATCTAAAGCTATCTTGCTCTTATCCTCTTTGAAACATGGTGATTAGTGAAGTTCAATTGTTTTGCACTAGGTTGAGTTTGGTACGAGGTCGTGTAAAACTTTTTTCTTTTATTTGAAGTTCATCAAATCCTGGAAATTAAAGAAGAGTGTACATCTGCTATTTAATGTAATTAAAAAAAAATGGATCACCTGGGTGGATGAAGAGGTTCGAACGAAGGAGCTATACCTAGGTCTTTGCTGACACCTCGGGTTAGACCACATTACCTTGCTGATGCAAGGGAAACGGCAACACCCTGCTAAATTTGTATAAGCCAAAATTAAGTGGTCGAATCGCAAAGGTGTGTAGCCAACATTTCTTCAATTTAAATCTAAGTGTATGCTTCAAAAAATACATCAGTAAACTTGAATGCGCACGACTTAATTTGTGATCCTCAGGACCCGCTAAACACCATATAAATGCTTCTGATGTATCCGCCTTTTCTTTTGATAACTGAGTAATTTTTGAGGGCCAGTGTCGAATGGTTCAAAACTCGATGGGCCCTCTAACTTCTCCAAGTAAATTGCAGGCTTTTGTCTGTAGCGGCTTTCGAACCGAGACATGTGCCTAACTCATACATCGCATGTTGTACTCTTACCATTAGACCAAGGTTTTGGGGATCTAACGCGTTCACTTCATAAGACAAATCTTCATCACATCACTACACATGCAACTTAAAATTTACAATGCCATTTATTATCATATTGCATTGTTGCATTACTTCCAATCCCGCGCTACAAGAAATTTTGATGTCATCCAATTCTTGTTAGCTTGGAATAGCACCCTACCATTGGACAAATTTAAGGAGTTATAGTTGTTAGAGTCCTACATCGGGTGGGATAGGGTTATTTGTCAACTTATATGATCTTGGACAATCCTCACCTCATGAGCTAGTTGTTGGGGTTGAGTTAGGTCCAAGGTCCATTTTGTTACACGGTATCAAAGCTAGACCCATTTCTATTCTTGGTATATCCAATGTTGGACTCCCATATTATGTCGTCCACGATTCAGATGTCCCCGGAGTTTTAGAGTCCCACATCAGTGTGGGATGGAGTTGTTTGCCTCCTTATATGATCTTGAGCAATCCTCACATCATAAGCTAGCTTTTGAGTTGAGTTAGGCCCAAGGTCCAATTCTTAACAATAGCATATGGTCATCTAAATCTGGCATTCTTTTAGGGCATAACATGTGTCTAGTCTGTAACTTTGGGAGAAAAAAGAAGTCTTTGTCTGTTGAAATGAAGTTATACTTTTCATCTTGCAATTGTTAAATACTGGTATAGACAATGTTTTAAAACCTTACTTTTTCAAAAGGAAAAACAAAACAGGTATACTTAAAAGCTAGATTTCACTGGGTAAGGATCCTCTTCTATTTCTTTTGTGCCAAACAGGCTGCTTTAATTTTGATCATGTTATTTTTTCTTAGAATCTTATATAATGCTTTACCTTACTCGCCTGAATGTTTCGGTCAGATTATTCAGCTTCCAACTGAAGCAGATCCCTGTATGCCCAGTTGCAGTATGTTGTATGTCTTAGATGGTCTACCATGACTTTCTTTTTCTAATCCTTCATATTGAAGAGTCTAACCTTCTGCATTGCATCTAATAGTCTCCTATTGCAAAATTATCCTCCATTTGCTTTGGTATATATAACTAACTTAATCTTATTGATTAGATGCTGGTCCTCCTTCCCCTGCTTCTCATTTACGAGATGTTTTCTACAGAATGGGGCTAAACGATAAGGTAACACTCGTCAATGTTGTTCTCTAGTTCGTCTCACTAATGATTCAAGTTCCCTTTGCTCTAGCCATGTATGCTTCTCACTGGTGAGCTTTTTGTTTCTAGGAAATTGTTGCACTTTCTGGGGCACACACTTTGGGGAGATCCAGACCAGAGCGTAGTGGTTGGGGCAAGCCAGAAACAAAATACACGGTAGTCATTTCCTCATGCTACTTTATATTATCATTAACTGTAAATGGTTGTGCTTTTCGGGTGTTTTTTTCAAATTTCCATTTGGAATTATTTATTTTTTCAGCTATAAGTTTAGTCTAGAGAGAAGACTGACCAATTGAGGATCATCTCAATAAAAAGCATGTTGCAGAACTCAAAATGCTTCTTTGTACTATACCTTTCTCAAAAAAAAAAAAAAAAAAAAAAGCTTCTTTGTATTAATGCAAGTGCAAAGATGGGCTGGTTGTGTACAGGGGCGGAGCTATAGTAGTGGGTGCGGGTTCGGGCGAACCCAGTGACTTTTTTCGGAACCCTGTATTTGTATTGAAAAATTTACTACATCTATATGTATATGTATATATATATATATATATATATATATATATATATATATATATATATATATATATATATATATATATATATATATCATTCCGAACCCAGTAGCAAAGCGTGTTTGGGTTCAATGGTTAGGGTTGTGGGTTCAACTAGAAAAGATGTGGGTTTGATTCCCTTCAAAGCAATGTTTTATTTCTTTGCTTTTTACATTATTTGTTTTAGAAATCACAAACGACGACGTTTCCTTCTAAAAAACATAAGAAGTTAGAACGTTTCTCTAAACAGAGACTAACCTAACATATTTTCTTTTAATAAATAAAACATAAAAATGTTTTCTTTCTAATAAACAAAAGAACAGAAGCCTTCCAACTCCAAACAACAAACCTCAATTCCCAAATCAAAAAAAAAAAAAAAAAACTAGGGTTCTGCTCTGCCTCTGTTGATCCACAATCGCTGCTACCACAATATGCCGGATGCCCTCTAAATCTCTGCTGTGTGCTCTTTCTCCCTTAGAAGTTAGACCATTCTTCCTTCTTCAATTTTTCTGTTCTGATTTTGTGTTCATGTTTTTCTCTTAGTGATCCACTGGTCCTAATTTCTTGTTTTTAGTTTTTTAGTGAGACCAACTTGCATTTTCATGGGTAGTACTTAGAGATAAAATTATCATTATATTTTATATAATAAATGTGTATTTGCAAACAAATGGAAAGCTGTATCACTATTCGGATCATTAGCCTTTTAACCTCTGAAGAAACAGAAGATCTGTAACCATTGCCTGTGATGAAAACGGAAAGAAATGAACCTCTCCTTTGTAGTAACAGTAAAATCTATCAGCTTTTCCTTTCTCATCACTGTTTCTTGGTATTAGACCTTGTTACTAAACCTGATGTCGGAATGCTAGAATTTATAACCCACTACGTTCGAAACCTGGCTCCGCTTCTGGTTGTGTATGAATTATTATATTTACACCCTTATGAAACATTTGGACTTTGTTATCAAAACTCTTTCTTCCTTAAATTATGAACTACTGAGGGCTGTGTAATTGGAACCTAAATTCTTATATTTTCTAATACAATAAGGTTAGTCTTTTGCACTCCACATCTCTGTTGTTCAGTCACTTAATATTAGTTCTCATGTATTTGGTCTTGATTTTTTGACTCTATGGTCTGTACTATGGTGCTTTTGTTTCTTTACAAATCTTGATAAAAACCAGATATCTGCTGCTAGCCTCTGTGCAAAGATCCAGTTATAATAGTTTCTTGCATATTAACAACTCTGGGTTTTTGAGCTGATTTATTCTGCATTGCAGAAAGATGGTCCAGGAAACCCTGGAGGACAATCGTGGACTGTGCAGTGGTTGAAGTTTGACAATTCCTACTTTAAGGTGCCATATGATGATAATTGATACACTGAAGTTTGATGAAACAGGATGAGTTATTGCTTATTATTCTTTAATTTGAAATATTGTTAGGACATTAAAGAGAGAAGAGACGAAGATCTGCTAGTTTTGCCAACAGACGCGGCTCTTTTTGAAGATTCTTCATTTAAGGTGGAAAGGAGAGCACAGAATCATGAAATCTGTCAGTACAAACTTATTTTTCTATTCTAACAACTTACAAGCTTGCAGGAATATGCAGAGAAGTATGCCGTAAATCAAGATGTATTTTTCAAAGATTATGCGGAAGCCCATGCTAAACTGAGCAACCTTGGAGCCAAATTTGATCCTCCTGAGGTTTGTCAACAGAACTATTTTTGTCTGTTAATAAGATTATGCTTTTTGCATCCTATTTCTATATGCTGTAAGTCCACGCTCATCTTAAATTTTTATGAGGTAGCTGGATGCGCAATTTTCACCGATTTTTCATTGGTTACTATTTGTATGAAATCTAAATAGATGTTCTTGTGGCTTTATGAGCTCCTTGTGCCTCCTACCGTCTATTTTTGCTGTCTAGCACACGTAAATATGGCGGCCTGACTAGTAATATAGTACGAATGCTACTACCATTCCACAAAGAATTTGCACTAATCACTTGTTAAATATCAATATAGTAACTACTTTAATTTGTTCAGGCAATCTAGCTTTGACTAAAATGTTAAATTAACCAAGGATAAATCTACGGATGAACTGAAGATGACGTAAAAATTATGGAATTTGCTCGAGCGTGAAGGCCTAGGACTAGATTTCTCTTAATACTTCATTCAACCAAATGCATCCCTTAAACCATACTTTTGTGAGTTGAGTTATTAACCTAGGATAGTGGAGAATAATGATGAAGAGAACCCATTGTATTAAACCCAGTTGGTGGTTATATAAGGCAGACTAGGTATGCTCCTATCACAAATCAACTCACCTATTAAGTGCATTGGACTTATGGTATTCAATCCTAGTCAGAACTAGGTTCCTTTCTCTGAGTTCAAACTAAAGTTTCCGAATAAATCCAGTTGGTCGCCAATCAATTAAAAGAATCAAGTACAAGATTGAATAACTAACTCAGTATGCATTAAGGATAAGAAAGAATGTCAGATTCCATTATATTTTTAGTTCATAACAAAACTCAAAAACACCAAGTAGATATCCGTAATTATACCTAAAGCACCAAGAAAATAGAGAAAAAGAAGCAAAACTCTGTCAAAGATGACTTCTTTTCAAAAATTCCTTTCTTCGCACTTCAATTCCTTGCCAAAATATTCTCTGTAAGCTCCTGCTTGAAATTCTCTTTATATAAGTAATGGAACGGCAACTTAGAAAATTAGAAACACAGAGAAGCACCTGACGCTAAAGTTTGAGGTCCTAACTGTTGCCTAAAACTTCGTAGCCTGAATTTTGACTACCACCAATTGCTTCTGTAGTGCCTAGGCACTGATTTTAAGAGAGCATTTTGAAGTTGTGCTGCACCTAGCTGCTAGCCTTCTGCTAACAGTATACACCTCCAGTACTTTTTACCACATGTATCTGTAGGGCTGTCCAATTGACAAATCATTTGACGACATGCATCTGTAGGGGTGTCCAACTGATAATCCATTTAAAAATAAAATCTAGGTCCTGAGCTCACAATATGGCTTAGTAAACCCTCATAGATACACATTAGTAAATTCTTGAAGTTAGAGTTAAAATGCAACTTGATTATAGCATGCTTAACATGCTGCAGAATGTGAACTTGGTCGGAGAAACCTATGAAATGCCCTGAACTTGGTCCGTATGTATATAAAATCAACTTATTATATGTCTCGCTTACATGAGTACCTGCAGCTCTTGCACTTTTTCTCTAGTCCTATTTTCAAGGGTCAACCTTACTATACCTGAGCATGTGTCACTTCAAGCCTTTCTACTGATCTGAGAATATCTTGGCAAACCAACTCTAAGATGTCTTCCGTACTATTCATTCATCTGACTGTAAACTAAGGCCACTTCTGATTCTGAACATTTTTTTGGCATTGATTCTGCACTATGTTCTTCATTAATCATTCAACATTCTTTCATTTCCATGCAAAACTCATATCTTTCCGGTATACTTTCATCCACTCCACCAATTCAGATATGCCCCGTAGCTTAGCAATATTTTTAATCAATTCCATGATAAATAATATTTTCTCACTCCACCTCCTCAAATAATCCGGTTTTTCCTCCACGATGGTAAGGGCCAAGGATCTACTATTTAAGCACCAACCATTGTGCAACTTGTTGACTAAAATATTAGCAAATGTATGGTGACTAGAGAGAGAATGATATGTATTGAATTTCTTGACAGGGTTTCTCAATAGACAATACTCCTACACAAGGTCAGCCAGAGAAGTTTGTGGCAGCAAAATACTCAACCGGAAAGGTAAATCTAAATTTCTTTATTACTTTTCCTTCCGTTAATTAGTCAAATTTTCACACTTGCATTTTAATTCCTGGAGAGATGTGTACATGTTTAAATTTTACCTTTTCTGGTTGCTGCAGGATTAAATACAACTTATCGTCTTTAGTTCTGCCGTTTGTTTTAATTTGCCAAGATCAAGCTATTACCAAAATTTTGCTCTCAAAAATAAAATTTGGTAGCCTAATGAAGGAGAAATAAATTCAACGAGTATTGCCTATTTGAATTGCAGAGAGAGCTCTCGGATGCTATGAAACAAAAGATTCGAGCAGAATATGAAGGTTTTGGGGGGAGCGCAGATAAGCCTCTCCCAACAAACTATTTTCTCAATATCATGATTGTGATTGGTGTTTTGGCAATTGTGACATCTTTGCTTGGAAACTGAGATGGCTTTGGTTTGATCTTGTAGATATTTTGAGTACTTTGTATCGGCATTATTGAGAATGAAAATTTTGACAGTCATATATGCAAAATTTGAAATTTTCACTGCTATTCTGTCAATTTTGTCACTCATTACCAAAAAAAAAAAATTGTCACACTGTGCTTTGTGCCTTGCAATTCTGTCATAACAGGAGAAGCTGCTGCTATTCAACCTTGACCACTTGTGTGGTTCGGTGACTTTGCATATGGAATTTCTGTGGAAATTCTTGTTTGGAGTGTTCCTATTATCTTCTTATATTGTTAAGATCATCTTCAACGTTATTAAGAGCACACAAAATGTGAAAAATAATTTCTTCTCTTTTAGATTTCAGAAGGAAATTTAAAAAAGAAAGTTAAGAATAATTTTTGCTGTAAGAGCTCGCAATTTAGATATTTTACAAATCCTAAACACATACCATGACCGATTAGCCAAAATGAGACAATCTTTTGGTCCAAGTACTTTTTTTTTTTGAAATATTAGGTCATATTGTATAGTTAACGTACTTATGTGTACACTCTTGAAGTTACTAACCATTGGTTAATGCAACATTGTGAAAATATGAACATAGGATTAATAACTTGTTAGTGTTTTAAGTTAAATCCATATCTCTCATTCTGTTGCATTCAATTCGTTACCCTTTTTTCCAAAAAATGAAGAAGGAACAATTACCTTTAGTATCAGCTTTATTCTCATAAATTATGTGAAGTGAAGCTTTGCTTGCACGGGCCCTAACATGCGTTATCTTTACATACACAACTTCCTGGATTTACTATTTAATTTTTTCATCGATATACATAGATTATACATATATTATATATTTATCGCCTAGTTTAGTTTAAACACTTGAGTGGGCAGCTATTTATGTTAAGTTCTTCTTTATTTTTCTACAGCTAAAACGATCTTTCAACATGTTTTTTCTTTATAAATTGAGGCTCTTCTTTCGCTATATACTTCTAAAGAGTTACTACTATCATTTACATCCAAGATCACACTGTTAACGGCAAAAGAAAGACTTCAGAAATTGTTCCATGTTTTTTCTACAATATGTCCAAACATGCAACAAGGAGTATCCTTTCATTTTCATCGAAAAGTATTAGAAAGCTTAAAGTTTTTTTTCCCCTTTTCCCTTAAAAATATATGTGTAAAATGAATCATTTTTGTTGTTTCAGCTGAACGTGTAATAAAACATTGAAGAATCCATTTTTTAATAAAAGTATTCAATACCCAGCTATGAAATTGTCATTAGGCTACAATTTTCAATTATATTATGCAAAGAAAAGCAAGTATAAGCTACATGTTCAGATAACTTATTTAAAAATAAAACTCCAAAATAAATGCATATTATTTTTTAAAATAAAAGAATATTCTTATGATTGTGATATCTAAAATTATAAATTTTTAAAAGGTATTTTGATGTGGTGGAAGAACGGGCATGTAGTGTCCCAATTTTTTTTTGAAACGTTATAAGGCCATTAGAGGCTCGACTTGTGCTAATTATATTAATTTGTGTGCAGGTTTTGATTTAATAATACAAAGAAATATCTCATGATCATGATAGTAAATGTACGAGGTGTATTTGAAATGATATAGGGTTTAAGAAGAGTCGTTAGGACTAGTCGAGTTGGAAACTACATGATAGATTAAAGTTTCAAAGGAGCACACACAAAGCCTAACTTTAAACATACATAACTTAACATTTATAAGGTTTTATATGGATTTCTATCTATCACATTAAAGCTATTTGAGTCTAGTTTCACCGGTTCAACTCATTCGTTATTTAACCATTCCTACAAGGAGTTATGACATTTTTAATGAAGATTGTGCGAAAGTAAAGTTGGTCACCTAGATGGGTGAGGCGCGCCCTGTAGTGCCCATTCCAGAAGTGATTTTTGGGCCATTGTCGTAGGCACCGCGGGGCGCCACCTTGGACAATCACCTGGGCCTTTAAAAACCAAGCCGGGATAGCTCATTTGGGTTCCAAAAATGATCTAACTGTTGAGGAACTCTCAACCTAAATTCTCCTAGGCTTCAACGCACATAACAAGGTAAGTTTTATGGATGGTTTTAAGCTAAATACAAGTATTTAACATTATTGAACTGTCCTAAATCATATGAATTTGTCTTAGATTTAAGAATCATCCAAAAAGCACAGGGTTTATGAAGTTTCAACTCCAAAAAGTAATTCTAATGCTTCAAACTCGTTTTTTATGAGTAGTTAAAAGTATTTGTAGTATTTGTTGCAAGTTTTAATGGTTGAAAGGTTGGATTCTAAGCTTCTCGTTCATGGAATGAATAGTGTTCTTTGAAAATGAGGGAGAAGATGAGTAGTATTCATGGCGATAAATTGAGGAATGCAATGAACTTATTGAGTTAATTGTTAGCTAAATTAGAAGGTGGACAACTAAGTATTCACTAAGTTTGAATATTTTGGAAATATTTTAAGGAAGATAATGAATAGTGACTTGGCGGTATTAAAAAATTAATATAGTATCATTAATGACTCCGGTTGAATATTAAATGATAAGCGTGTGTCACGACCTAAAATCCCACCAAAGGTCGTCATGACATCTAACCTCCAAGATTAGGTAAGTCAACATGCTTTATAGATCCAATCGAATGAAATAAGATATACCATAATTGAAATAGCATAAATAACATAATAAATCTTCAACAATAGATAGCACAAGATATTACAACATCAAATCCCAAAAACTTGATAGTACCGAGTTATGAGTTCCAAAATGGTACAAGGAAAGCTTCTAAATAATACAATAACTATCCCAAAATAAGATAGGGGAAGGGGACTCCAAGTGTGTGCGGGTGATCATGCAACACTACCTTGAATCCTCTCTGTTAGCTACAAGACTCACTCCTGAGATTCTATATCGCCAACACCCGGATCTGCACAAAAGAAATGTAGTATAAATACATGGTAACATGTACTCAGTAAGTATCAAGACTAACCTCGATGAAGTAGAGATGAGGTTCAAGTCATGTGATACTCACTAATCAAATAAATAGTGTAGTTTATATTAATTCACAATGAGAATATAACAAAAGATGCAATATCATCAAATATCAAATCAGGAGATATCAACTCAACATAGGTATTTCAATCTTGACCAACAAGTTATCAACAAATGACATAGGCATAAAGTAGCATGTTAGAATTTAACACAGAAACATATAGAATGTATAACAAGACATAAATGATTCACTCGCATAGACATAGCTTTCACACTTATGTTCAAAATTCACGATAATCGGATTCTATATCAGAATCAACCAACATCAGTCAACTTATCATAATCCGCATGTAAGCTATTAAGAGTGAAACATGAGAGGGCGACTGTGACGACCCAAAGGGTCATCACCTGTCTTTAATTGAATTCTGTATCTCCGAGGCATTGAAAACCTTATTTAGAGTCGCCTCGATTTGCGTGCGCAGTCCAGGCGCATAGCCGGAGAAGCTTAAATATGAAATTCTGTGAAAAATGCTAAGTTTTGATGTTAAAATGAATAAATTTGACCTTGATCAACGCTTTGGGTAAACGGACCCGGACCCATGATTTGACGGTCCCGGAGGGTCCGTAGGAAAATATGGGACTTGGGCGTATGCCCGGAATCGAATTCTGAGGTACCAAGCCCGAGAAATGAATTTTTTTGTAAAATTGTTTTCTGAAATTGTTTAAGGAAATTTGAAATGAAAATTGATTAGAACGTGTTGGTATCGGGCCCATATTTTGGTTCCGACGCCCGGTACAGGTCTTATATATGGTCTAAGTCATTCATGTGAAATTTGGTTGAAAACGGACGTCGTTTGACGTGATTCGGACCTAAATTGGAAAATTTGATGTTTTATGAAGTTTGAAAGAATTCTTGAATTTTGAGGTTTAATTCGATATTTATGATGTTAGTTTGGCGATTTGATCGCACGAATGAGTCTGTAGGATGTTATTGAGGTTGTGTGTATATTTGGTTTGGAGCCCCGAAGGCTCGGGTGAGTTTTGGATAGGCCACGGGTTGCATTTTTTGAACATAAAATTTGCTGGTATGACTGACCTGCAGGCTTCGCATTTGCGAAGCCTCGCAAATGCGAGTCATGCCTTGCAAATGCGAGACAACGCCTGGGCAGCCTTCTTCGCAAATGCGAAGATTTCCATCGCAAAAGCGATGCCCGCCAAAATCCTCAGACATCGCAAATGCGAAAGCTGGGAAATTATGAAGGGTTCGCATTTTGCGAACCCTGTTTCGCAATTCCCACACCTGAGAGGTCGGGGTTCGCAATTGCGAACCCATGTTCGCATTTCCCATATTAGAGACCTGCAATTTTACACTTAAACGATTTTGAACCCCATTTTTCATATTTTCTCAAACCCAAACACACTTAGGCGATTTTCCAAGAACAAGTCTTCTTCCAAATCGATTATACGAGCGAATTGGCGGTGGAATCAAGGGGTAAAGCTATATTTGAGACTTGAGTTGTGTTCAAGGCATCGAGGTAAGTGTCCGGTCTAACCCTAGCTTGAGGGATTAAGAGTTGAGTCATATTTGCTAATTGTTTCTTTTTGAGTACGACGTATAGGCATGGTGACGAGTATCTATGCGTTGGTCTCGAGCATGACCGTGAGTCTTAAATTGATAGTTGTAGTGTTCCTAAATGACATTTCGGATGCCTTAGTTGATGATTCTTGAAATTTCGTGAAGATTTAGTTTATTCTCGTGGACTTTATTTATGCTTGAGCATTGATACTAATTGGACTGAGTAGGAGTTGAGCTAAGATTGGTTATAGCTGGTTATCTCTTGCCGGGATGGTTGAATTGATATTGTTGTTCCCTTGCCTGGAAATTTCTATGTTGCTTTTGTTCCCTTACCGGGATTTTATTGTGATATTGTGTTGGATTATAGTGAAATGGGAGCGGGTGGTACGCCTACCACAAGTTATAATGAAATAGGAGCGGGTGGTACGCCTACCACGAGTTATGATGAAATGGGAGCGGGTGGTACGCCTAGCACGAGTTATGATGAAATGGGAGCGGGTGGTACGCCTACCACAAGATTTGATGAAAT